ACAGAAACACTTAAGGTTCAATTTACTTTGATGCATTTTTTAAAAATTCAAAAGCAGTTTTTTTCGACGCATTATTTTAGATTGCAAAAAGCTCGCGTCATTTTGTGTAAAATATCAGAAGGAATCGAATAGTGCGAGCTTTTTGCAATCTGAAATAATGCGTCGGAAAAAACTGCCTTTGAAATTTTCCAAAAAGCATCAAAGTAAATTGAACCTTAAGAAAACCATCCCACACCCAAGCTCGCATCATGATGGGCATGTAATATGTTTTGCTTTCGAGTGAAAGAGTTTCCAATATCATCATTATCATCATTGATGATTCGCGAAGTTGTTGCTGAATATAATCATTATAAGCATATGAAACATTGAAAAAACACCCTAGCCACTTCTTCTTTCCTTTATTTAACTTCGGTCTCTGTTCCGCATTCTAGTGCCAATCACCAACGGACATCGATTGCCATCCAGAGATTATTTTTTTCGATCTTTTCGTGGACAAAGAATCAATACGAAAAATCGTAAATCGGGATGAAAAAGATCGAACCAAGATCGCCCAATCCTAACCGGCTTCTTTGGCCAACGCAGCACTTATTCTATTAGCAAATTACGTTTGAATAATGATTACTTTCCTATTTTAAAACGTAGGAAAATATTTGTCTACGCCGGTGAAAGCAAACGTAAACGAAAGCTGCCGAAGCTGAAAGTTGACGAGGAGTGATGACACCGCTTCGGGTTTTGAGACCGTCCACGCAGTGGTATGGGTTCGTACAAGCATAGATGTTGGTGTGCATGTTTTCTTCCAACGCTGCAGTTCAACGTTGTCTCGTCACAAACCGTTTGGCGCTGTCATTTGTATTTATAAATTCCAAAGAGTGAAGGGGGTCTGTTCATACCTCTATCACAGACAAACAGAAGGAAACATCGTTAAACGTATTTTGCATGCACACTAGCACCCTCTATCATGCACATTTCTAAGCATTGATTTGCAACCGGAGCATGCCTCGTTCATGCAATTGTTTTACTACTTGCTTTTCCCTCGTTCTGTCAATACATGCTGTCTGTTGAATAAAAGCAAAATAAATGCAAATCAGTGATATTGGTTTGATTGAATTGTACAAAAATACGGATCCGAAGGAGATAATCCCAGAAGTTCAGACTTATTTTAGGGATTAGTGTTGTTTATTCAGTGTGATTTTTCTTTCGGTGGAAACAGGGTTTTAAATGTGGTAATGCATCACTAATGAGAGCCATTTCTAACACTGCTCACCACCTTAATGTGTTCACAGCAAACAAATATAATGTGTATCAATCAATAAAATTCATGGTGATGTATTGAACATCAGTAGCTGGTTAAAGCTGATAGAATATTGTAGTTATCAAAATGATTTGTTCTCAAATTCTGTGTACATCCGTACATCGGAATGACCAATGTGAATCAGTTTTGAAATAATATTCAACCATTTTTTCTGTATTCGACAGATGTGGTATGTGTCTCCAGGCCACTTACTAGGTGGCGTGAAAAGTAACCTCCTTGACCGCCAGAATGCGCTGCTACTGCAAAAAAGGTTATGGTACCTTGTAGTCCGTTCATATATCGGCAGACATGCCAAATTTCAGTGCGATACTGTCTTTAGTTTTGTTTTGACAGCTGATTGTTGTTGACGTGTTTGGCATCATGTTGAGTAGGGTAGAGCGCTACTTCGTCGTAATCGTCCATTTCCGTTCTATAGATCAGAAAAGATCAATACTATCAATGATTTCACCGAGCACAAATCAATAATAGGTTTGTTCCGATGCGTTAGTTCATTAGCTACAACATAAATCCTATTAGAGCTCATTGTTCTCAAAACAAAATAAGCGCTCCAAGCGAATTCCCTTTTTCTACGTTTATCCGTAGGACGAAGAAAATCTAATGGCATTTTAATGCGTTAGGACGGAATTGAAACTCGTAGAACGAATTTAGAATCAAGAAGCAGTATTAGATTTTAAACAATATCTCAACAATTTGTGACTTTTTATCAAATCCAACAGTACGTATGGAAAGGTGAATAAATTTAAAAGCCATCTTTGACAGAAATAATCCATTTTTTGTTTAAACTCGTTCAGGAAAGAGAGGTAAAGCGCGGGTTGTGCTAAGTAGGACGGAAATTAGATCGAACACCCTATGGATAAAAAAAAATCGTTCTCTCATAAAACATTATTTTTTGAGAGGCAAAACGGGCGAAGGAAACAAAAGAAAAGTTGGATAAATATTATGGGGCTAATGCTCCGTCAGATTACACCGTCACATATTGGTGTTTCGTGGTGGCCGCAACTCCACTACCAATCAAGTCCGCAGCGGCAGGCCCTCCGATGCGGTTTTTTTTTTTTTTTTCTTTTGGTTTGTTTTTTCCGTCGATCTTGTTTTCCGTGCTGAGCACCAATGCTACCGACGTGCCAGGAAGGCAGCTCCCACACCTGGACCCTACCTATCGACCCATCAACTCATGAACCGGGGACCAACGGCTTTACTTCCCATCCGAAGGAAGGCGTGATCAGAGATGTTATGCCTCAGAACATCCCGGCGGCGCCGACTGGGATTGAACCCAGGCCTGCTGGGGTGAGAGGTAATCACGCTTACCACTACACCACCGGTGCCGTTATCCTCCGATGCGGTTACAGAGGACAATGTCAAAAAAAAATCAAGAGCTGACAACTACTAAATTGACCTGAAAAAGAACTGGCATCACTGATAAGTTCGAAATGTAGTGGCTTGCTTAACGCTTCAGTGGTGCCACCATGACAAATGCGAGCATATTTCCAACTAAAACCTTATTTGCGATTAATGTTATTGAGAGTGTTATGTATGTTTGTCTACTACCTGTAAGCTACCTTTAGGCGAATTAAAAAATCGTAAATTTAAGCCTTGTTGGTTCATTCACGAAGGCAAACCTGCTCTGACTGTTTGCTGAACGGTTTAGTAAAACAATAAAAAATATACATACATACGATTGGATAGAATTGATAATCTGTTCTATGAAGATGTTGCACATGCGGACGAGATGCCTTTATTACCTACAGTATGCAAAAAAAAAGTTTATCCCTTCCAATGTACATTTTTTTTCTGGTTAAAATCAGTTTAATTTTATGAGTGTTCCTCCATGATTTATCAATTTATGTTGATTTATCACATTGCCATTGAAAATACGGCGTTCATATCTTTTCTTAAGATTTCATGTGATAAATTATGAAAAAGGGTAAAAAATTACGCAAAAAGTTTATCCACCCCCAAACGGATACTACGATTTAAGTGTGTTTTACCGAGTTTTAGTGTGTATTCTGCAACTTTCTCGAATGTAAACATTGAATCTAGCTGTTATTTAGTGCTCTTGAAGTTTTCGTGCTCAAAATTTCAGTTTCGTGTTCAAAATTGGAAGTTGTTTGTTACAAAATGCCCAAAAAAGCACAAATTTCGATCAGTATCCGAAATGTGAGTATTGAACATCACAAAACTGGCAAAATCTACCGTGATATTGCCGATATTGTCCAGATTCACAAAGATACGGTCGCTAGAATTGTGCAGATGTACAAAAAGCGTGGTTCTATCTCACCAGCTAAGCGATCGGGGTGTCCTTCAAAGACAACTGGCCAAATTGACAGAGCTATCGTGAAGAAGGCGGAGCTGGACCGGGAACTACCTGAGTACTGCGGATTCACTCAAGTGGCTTGTCACTTGGGAGCCAGTGCGAACTGTCAAGCGGGAGCCAAACATTCAGAAGCAGCACATGCAGCTACTGTTCTTATCTACCGTCAAGCATTGTAATCTCATAAAAATGATCTATACTTTTTCATAACACATTCTTAATGTTAAGCTCAAAGATAAAAACCAACAGGCTAAGTGATGAAAGTATAAAAACCAGCATAGTTTTTATGAGGCAGCTGAGTTTTCAATTACAGTTAAACATACTTTGGCGAAACATGTATGTAAACAAACTTTGTTAGAGTCATGGGGGCTCGAGCACTCCTGGCTCAGAGCTTTTGGTGGGAATCGACTGAGAAAGAGCAAACCAGTTTGAAACTTGAGACAATTTTCAGCAGATTGAAAGCGAGTTTTCTATTCAACTGACATCACAATCCGTACAAAATCGTCTTCATAAGAAAGGTCTTAATAGCAGAGTAGCTCTTAAGAAGCCATGGTTGTCCGCAAAAAATATCAAAAAAAGATTGAAGTGGGCCCAGGGCCACATTTCATGGACCAGTGATGACTGGAATAAGGTACATGCCTACCTTTGCAATCTGTCGCAATTTATTTAGTTTATTTTTTTAATTAGTTCGTTTATTTACAAGGATCAGTTGCGTGTGACACTTTGCGGAGCCAAAATCAGTAATGTTTGAATTTACATTTTAAATAGCAGTAGTTCTTGGTTAGTATTGGGTACCAATTACTCGTGGCGCGCTCGAGGTTAATGGGTAAAAATTCGATTGGAAGGAGCTAGGTAGAAAACAGTTTTCTTAAGCCTCCTTCAGATACTACTCTCGAACGGTTGACCAAATGCTGTATGTGAAGGGGCAAGTAGCACAGAAACAGGTGAATAAGACTGGGACACAAAGGCCGGAAATCACATCGGACAAACAAAGGAATTCGTAGATCGCCTGGGTTCACGGGTTCCCAATACATCTCTTACTTCACAGAAGGGTTGTCTACCTCGGGCCACTAGGGTATCCAACAGTCGTGCTCTGGAGGCGTCATTTTGTGGGCAATACCAAACTGCGTGATCGATGTCATCATAACCGGTTCTGCACCTACATATATTGCTGTCAACGAGGTTTATTCTATAGAGATGTGCGTCTAGCGAGTAGTGGTTGGACATAAGTCTTGACATCATGCGAATGATTTATTTAGTTTATGATCTTTCATAGTTCCATCAAAAATACGTCATCAACTAATAGCAGCCAGCAAGAAATGGATTTTCGGATTGCTTCGAGTATCATTAACGAAAAGGTCCTCGATTGAGTACATTGTATGAAAGTTTCGATAGCTTTTATTTGGACTTGTTTGTTTGCTTTCCTTTGCTTTCTCTCGCGTGTATATAGTTTCAACATTTTTCTTGTCCTTTTACGTGCTACATTTCAATTGTGTGAGTTTCAAATGATTCTTCTTCTTCTTATTTTTCTTCACAATTGTTGTGCAATGTTTCACTCGACTTGTCACGCGCGTTATACGGTACTATATATTACACACGATGCCAAACTGCTAGCTTCTCCACTGGAATTGCACCGCTATAAAGTCAATCTATGTACAAGGTAGATTTTGTATGCGTTTCACGAAAAAAATCAAACTTCTCACTTTTGTATAAAATATAAATATTCTACGTCACAAAATGCTTTCTTGATTAATTTTTTTTTCTTGTTTTCTAAAAACTCAATTCGTAACCCTTAGAACACGCACTTCATCTTCTCGCTTGTTCTCAGATTTTCCCTACCCGGTTTCTGCTACACACACTGATTCTGTTTGTAAGATGGTATCATATAAAAAATCTAAGGGGGCTTCTGGTTGAATTTCTTAAAAGTGCCAATTTTTCATCTCCGGATCTGATTTCGGGTCAATTTAAAACACTTTCTTTTTTTTCCATCAACAAAATAATACAGTTACTCCAATGGGGTTCCAATTTCTATAAATTTGAGCTAGTACGATTTGTTTGTGTGTGTTGGATTCTGGATTTTTGGTGGTAAAATTGTTCTAGCTTCTTGGTATCAAAAGATGTCTGCGTCCTTTCTCTCTCTCTGTCTTTGTCTGTTTAGCGAAGATAAAACATATTCGTTAAGGCAAAGAACGAATGTCGATTTTGATTTAACTTGATTTTTTTTCTTTCTTCTAATTGTTTCGGGCGGGTATAACGATTTATGCGGTAACGCTTGATTTGTTTCCTTTACTAGGTGACGCTTATGTATGGTATTTTGTGTATGTATCAAAGATGTGAATGTGGTGAATGTTAAGCTGTGTAAAAGAGTTGTGAATATGAGCATTGAGTGCTTGATTTTTTTTTGGTTTTGTTCTCGATGTAGTGATAGGTTTTGTTTTTTTGTTAATGAGAGAAAGGGTGAAAACCTTAAGTGGATTCGAGTAAGATGAAAGTGGCTCTCGCTTGAGCTTGTGAACTCCAAAAGTAGAATTGTTATTTACACACTAAATAGGTCGGTTGAGTACGTTTTTAAATATACATGTTTCGAAAAAAGGTTCCTCATTGGTATATACTAATTTTTGGATAATATGCGTCAATAATAAGTATTCGATTAATATGTCAATAAATATTTCGTAATAAGTATTTTGGCAATAGTTTATTTTACACAAATTGTATATCCTCTGTTTTCTTTTATATATATTTACAACAATAACGTCTTGCATTCAGTTTAAAACGGGGCTCTTTTTAGCTGTAGACTAGCACTTGAAGAATAAAGTTTCAATTGGAACTTTTTGACAGAATTCTATTCCTTTGGATTGTTCTACTCGTATCCGAATGGTAAACCGGTTTATATTTCCTGCTGCCGTATTTCAACAAAACAAAGTTCAACATAAAATATTCTATTGGATTACAGTACACACAGTTTCACCTATAACAAAAACAATAAAAAGTCGTTGTTGTTTCATTTCCTGTTTATGAAGATTGTATAAGTTTTTGCTTTCACCCCTGGATGTGTACGCTCGCTCTCATACTGCTGTTTGAAGAATACAATCCGAACGTTCACACTTTTCTGTTTCCTGACAAACTAAAAAATACTGAATGGGGGTTAAACCGATACTATGAACCGTTATCGTCGCCTATTTGATTCGGAAAATCATCAGTCCATAGAAAAGAATTCTATCCTACGTGCAATGTAAACGGAAACAACACAATAACAGAGAAAAGAAAAACTTTATCAACGGTAACAAATCCCGAGAAATCAATATTATTCCCCACATACTGCAACCTCCTTGGCCACCTTGACATGATGTTCCGACACCCACCAATCGAGTTCCGTATTTATCTTAGTTTCGAGACTCTGATTTGATGTGCTTCCACCCACCACTTGTCCACATGGTTCAAGAAACCTGCACTCCTCTCACCGATGAATCCTCACAGCAATCACCCTCCTTTTGTCCCATAGAACCATAGATAGGAAAGTAGAGCCTGTTTGCTTTCCGGTCGTTTCTTGTTATTTTCCCGGGATGTAAAACCTGAGACGCCAGCCGGGTCGGGAAAGTATCCTTCTTGCTACCTACCCACTTCATTTTCTTTTGTTTGCTTACTTTTGCCAGAGCTGCACCATCCCACCACAACCCGGCTCCGTTGATCCGCCTGATGTGGTGAAGAACTTGTGTGCTCTTACTTACCCCTAGGGAAGCTGTCCAGGCTCGATCAAGTGAAGCAGTATGTGCGGAGGAAAATATTTGCCCTGAAGGTTAAAAATCAATGAATAGGAAGACAAAAGCAATCAAAGGTCGCGCGCAAACACGGAACGGAAAAATAATTATCTGGTTCAAATAAAGGAAAATAAACGTTGCTTCCTGTGTGTTCGGTTCTGTCCTGCTCTGGGTTTGAGTCTTCTTTACTTCTGCCTGTACACAGACGGCAAAATCCTGGATTGGATGTGGCCCATTAGTTTATTGCTGCAATTGATTGTTGTTGTTGTTGTTGATTTTATTTCTTCAGTTAGAGAGTTTATTTTTCTCCGTTGTTGTTGTTGTACTCGTGGGTACGAGTGCAATTTTTGGTTTCGTTAGGTTTTGCTTGTAAAACTGTTTTTTTTTGCAATATTCTTCCTTCTTATCGTGTATATAGAAAGGTATTTTTTGATTCTCTATTTGTATTATACTTATATATAAAAGTTAGTCTTTATTGCTTTCATTTGTTGACGGGCTGTGGCGCTCACGAACCTAAGACGAGTTCTGCAATGAAAGGGACAAAAAATGAAATTGTATGAGCTAAACTAATGAAAAATCAGAAATAAATTTAATTGATTTTTTCGATTCGATTAGGAATGTTTTCTTCTAATATAAAATTGATAGAAACCATTTAAAATTTTCTTATAATTAATTATATCTCCAAACAGAATCCTCCATAGAGAGCATTTAGAGTGGAATGCGTAGATTATTTGGCTGTTTAATGGATGTTTACCGTTTGAATGGCTCTTTTGTCATTTAGCTTTAGTGTTATTTTAGAGTTTTAGAGCCATTTATGTCTTGCAGGTCACTTTTGCATTTTGGAAGCCAGAAAATTAAACAACTTTCGTTTCCAATCCATTTTGATGTTTAGGAAATTAATTTAATTTTCGGACTGGTTTGAGCTGAAGGGTCATGAATGAATGTCATTATTTTTCCACAAAAAACGTATTTAAATGAAAATTTCCATACGAAAAAAAAGTTTCATTCAAATTGGAAACACTTGTGTCCAACCGGTTTGCGTTTTGGGTTGGAGATGCTCAGTGTTGTTTTGTATCAGTTTTGAGTCATGACCAAACAACTAACGATCCAGAATTTTTTGATTTTTGTTTTGACCATGTAACTTTTAGGAAAAAACTCGTTAAGTTCTGAGTTACTTTTGACGCATTTTGTTCGATTGTAAAAAAAAAATCTGGTTATCAAGTTTTCAAGTCAAGTCACGTTACGATTTTATTTGGCGGTTCCAAGATTATGTTTTTGCAATTTGAAATCCATTTGTTTTTTTTTCCTAATCCATTTTGACGACATTAAAGGGTGTTACGATCAAAATGTGGTCGTCTTAAACTTGTCGAATTTCTTTTAATCGAACATTTAAAAACATAAAAAAATAAATCATTTAGTATGTTCTTTTTTCTATTTGTGTGGTTTACATGTATAACTTAAGTTTTATCGAGGTTTTAAATCATTCTTCAAGTCCAAATCATGGTATATAGAACCCTCATGAAACCCACATTCCCAAGTAGCATTTCTTGTTTTATTGCACTCTATTAGTGGTTTTTGAGATCAATTTTATAAAACCGTCAATAAAATTAATAGCTCCAGCACAACCTTTTGATAACCGCTATAAGATCGTCTTACAGCTTAGTGGACCACTCTTGATAAGGTTTATAAAGCATGTTTGAGAATCACAATAAAGCTGTCTTAAAACCTACAAAAGGTTCTCGTAGCCTCTTTAAGAGTATAATTGTATTCAAGCAGTCTTATTACGGTTTAGTGAAAATCATTTATAATTCCAATTTAATTTATATTTGCTTCAAAACAACCGCCATAAATTAGCTTGTTCTGTTCTGCTGAAACATTTTTTTTTAATATGGAAATCGTTAGCGGTAAAAATAGGTTTGAGTGTTGGTGTCAAGATCACCATGTAATCAATTTTGTTTTATGGCGACATTAGTGAAAATCTTAAAGGAAATATATGACTTTTTAGAAGTTCCAAAACATATGCACTTGAAATTTTATCGTGTATATTGGGTTAACAAAAAATATTGTTTCAGAAATCAATTAACTTGATCATCATTGATGGAATCATCTTAATTTTACAGAAAATAAATCTCAATAAATAAATTCATACCAATGCTTACTGGAAATCATTTCGGATATCTAACTTAGCCATTATTTTATTGAAATTTCTTGGATTTTGTTCCAAGGCTAATGGCATTTTCATAGTGACAATATGGCGACAGAGGACAGCAGGCAAGAAAAACACCAAGCGCAATTTCTTAAAATGTCTAATGCTTACATTGCACACTGGGTCAGGAATGCAACCTAGTGGAGCAGAATTAATAACTCCGAAACGAAGCATTTCCGCGACTTGGTGTCTTGGGCAAAGTTTCTCATCATAATAAAGACCATCTATTGACATAAACAAATAGTTCAAAACGCTTCTGCAAAGATGGCGCCACAATATAACTTCTTTCTCTGACGTTTTGGAGACTTGATGTCTTGAAAAAAGTTGTTTATCTTGACAAAATTAACAGCTCTTTCAAAGACGTAAAATTTCCACAGCCTACTGGTTCTAAGTTATATGGAGTTAAAAAAAAAAGTTAAAAAGATATTGTTGAAAAAACACAAAAAAAACCCAATTTTTGAACTTTAATATCTCTCAAAGCGCAAAAAATCGCAACCTGACATTTTCAGCAAAAATTAAGCAATACTCGATAAACAAAATATTCAAATTTGAGAGAGGTATATTCTGATTTTTTTAGATTTCTTCATTTAAGTGGAACATTTTTTTTTAATAATTTTTTAATGCATTGAACTTGTTTTTTGAAGACTTGACGTTTTTGGCAATGTTGTTAATCTTGATAAAATAAACAACTCTTCTTAAGACGTTAAAACTTCACAGCCTACTGTTTTCGAGTTAAATGGAATTGCAGAAAAAATGTGAAAATAAGTGATTTAATTTTAAATATATTGTTTAAATGCATATACCTCGAAAACAGTAGGCTGTATAGTCTTAACGTCTTAAGAAGAGTTGATTATTTTATCAAGATAAACAACTTTGCCAAAGACGTCAAGTCTTTATAATGCCATTTCAATGCATTAAAAAAAGTTATAGAAAAAAATCATGTTCCACTAAAATGAAGAAATCTAAAAAACACCAAAATATACCTGTCTCTATTTTTAATATTTTTATTTATGCGCTTTGGGAGATTTTAAAGTTCAATAATCGTTGTTTATTTTTCATTTTATCAACAGTATCTTTAAAATTTGAACCTTAAACCAGTATGTTTGCATAAGAGAAAAATACAACATTATATGGTTGTAAGCAAAAAACCGAAACAGAAAGAAAAAACCATATTTTCGACAGTTTTGATTCTTTTCTATGTTGTAGAAATAAACCGGAAATTTACACTTCTGACAAGTTGCAACTGAATACTTATAATTGTTTTTAAATAACTGTTTCAAGGCCAACTAGCTTTATTGCGCTTACTTACATAGCAATATAAGGATTTATTTTTGGGTTTGATAAGGGCAATTCACATTCCTTTTTTTATACTTCAAGGCAATCATAAAACCTTTAATAAGTGAAAATAGCATAAGCATCAGTTGGTTTTTTTATAAGCTTTATAGGGGTTTTGTAGATAGCTATAAAATGTTCCATGACTTGCATTGGATATGACCGTCATAAAGCTGTAGGTAATGGTTGCAGCTGCAATAAAACCTTTATAAATTTTGAATATAGTCAAGCAGCTCTAGATTTGTTACTTGGGTTGTTACTTGGCTTATCAAATGACACAGATATGCGTTTTTTCAACTTTAGTTCTTTTGAAATTTCAATTATTATTAATTACAGTTCCTAGTCCTGTTTAGAGAATGACCACCTCGATGAGATTGGTTTGTTTGAAATTGGAAAAACGAGACTACTTAAAATTACTATTTACAACATTTAAAAAATCTGGACACCCCTTATTTTGTAGGTGTATGTGTGTAGAACGATGCCTCTATTTTGATTTTGAAATTTTCTCTTCAGTTATCAAAATGGCATCCAAGCAAAAGAAGCAACGTATCACAATTTTGCGTGCGTCGTTAAAATCCGAACTACACATACATCGTTAAAAGTGGCTAAATCAACTGTCACTAACGCAATAAAAGTGTTTGGGAGCGTTTTTCGACAGCCTGGAAACCTGGATTGGAGGAAAATCGAAAGCCGGAAGCTGCAGCGACGACAAAAAGAGTGGCCAGTGGTTTCCAGCGAAACTCCAACCTCTCCATCCGAAATGTCGCAAACAAGCTGATAATGTCGTCTACAACCCTGCATCGAGCTAAAAAACGAGCTGGACTGTCGAATTATAAAAAGGTATTGACTCCAAATCATGACGGCCAAAACACGATATCGGAAGCTGTACACGACGACGCTGACGAAGTTCGATTGCGTGGTAATGGATGATGAAACCTACGTCAAGGCAGACTTCAAACAACTTCCTGGACAGGAGTTTTATACGGTCACCGGAAAAGGTGACAGACATTTTCAAGCATATGAAACTGTCTAAGTTTATAAAGAAATATCTGGTTTCGCAGGCTATCTGTACTTGTAGCTTGAAAAGCGACATTGCAACCGGGACCGTCAACCAGAAAATTAACGTGAACGAGTGTTTAGAAATACTTCTTTCCTGAAGCAACACGATTGTTCCGTGCTGTTTTGGCTGGATTTGGCATCCTGTCATTACGAAAGGCCATGTAGTGGTATGAGGCCAACCACGTTCAGGTGGTGCCCTAGGACAAGAACTCTCCCAACATGCCAGAGCTCCACCCAACCGAAAAATATTGGGCCATCGGAACCTGAAGAAGACCAAAAAAAAAACTATGGGGAGCGAGAACAGGTGTTCTTCGGCGAACAAAGTGGACTAACTGGCTGCACAGAATCTGATGGCAGGAGTTAAACGAAAGGCCCGGCATTTTGGATTCGATCAGCTGGAAGCTTAGCTGAATATTTATTTCTGTACTTTATACTTATTTAGTTTATAAAGAAAAATAGTTGATTTTTTAATAAAAAAATTAATCATTTTACACGCATTCTTGTTGGACCAAATTTTGATCGTAACACCCTTTAGTTTGGTTTTATTATGACCATTTTGATGTTTTCAAGGAAATTGTTGCATTTCAAGGTTATTTTGGAGAGACGCGAGCTATGGACACTGTTGCCCCGTAACGTGGGTAGATCACCTTTTCGTGGTACGTTACGGGATGTAAGATCTACCACCGATTCCTAGTCCTGACTACTTCAAACTAGGGGAACAGGATTTTTCAGTAATCCAAGGAACACATCTTAGTCCTTGTTACTTTTTATGCCTTGTTTGATAGTGACAAGACTCGGCTTTGTCTACCGAGGATGATCTTGACACAAGGAAAAAAAAATTAGATAGTTGTCTTCATCTATGTGATTCCTAATCTTCTATTCGTTGTTCCCTAGTTTGAAGTGGTTAAGACTAGGGTTCTGATGCATG